AAGGTGAAATGGAACATCTGACATGAAGAGGGCAATCGCAAAATTAGGACTTAATTATTAAGGTTTCAATAATAAAAAGGAATTCACTGCATATGTTTATAAAGTGGCACAATAATGTAACCTTTATAAGAAAGTAGTTTATCCTAACAATGGTACCCTGTTCCAAAAATTTAAAGGGGAGTAGTTGCAGCGAATTACTGATATTTCAAGTGTTTGCTAAACGGTGGAATGTCTTAGTCGTATATTAAACGTAAGCCTGTTTCAAGTATCTTATGGAGGAAAATGCACCGAAACCTTATGGAAAATATATAATCCAGGTCTTCCTCGCATAGTGTGCTGTAAGTGTTCGTTGATGATGAATGCTTATGAAATATCATTTGTTGCAACAGGACACCAGGGATTCCGCAACGTGAAATAAATGAACTCATAAAGTAATATTAAACAAAATTGGTTGGATGTTGAATCTTAACCGGTTAAGGAGATCAAGCAGCCATACGATGTTGAAATATGCTATTGAATGGAGGACCTTGTACAATCGGTATGAGAAGTAAACAGAACTAGATAATGATCGGCATAAATTGGCTGCTGAACAAGTGGCAAGCGTAAGGTGGACTCAGCGGAAGCGTACAGTTAGGCACTGTGTTATGGTACCTGCAAATTATTGACGCGGAATTCATTTCGAATTAATAATGTGCCGGCCATTCAGTAGGCATATTGTGCAAAGGAGGTGCAAACGGAATGATGAATATAAATAGCCTGATATATAAAGCATAAAGATAAGGGTATATTTAATGCTGTGAAACTACAGGTAATAACTGAATACCAGATATCCCAGGTAGAATGGATATAGGTACATCGTCCAAAGTATTTAAATATATCATACATATATATGGTAATAGAACTGAGCAAAATTGGAACCTTATATTAGATACATAACCATGTGTCCTTAGACATGGTTGGCGGCATGCAGTTCCGGATTTGCCTGTCAATGAGATCAGCCACAGGATGCCTGCGTCTACAGAGGGAGCTTTGGTGGCTTGCTCTGCACCACCCACAGCTCCAACCACACACCCATATCCAGTGTAAACCCGAAGGAATAAAACCGGGAGGCATGTCGATGGGAGCCACGTTGCATCAACGGAGCCGACCCACACTCCTTCACAGGCAAACACAAGCACGCTGTATTTGGGAAATCAAGCGCACACTAGGCGGTGGCTGGACCGTAGTTTGCTCCACACTGAGTGCATGAGACCGCTCTTTGAGCCTAGCACGGCCACAAGGACCGTGCTCTCCGTCCCCTCCAGCAACGACCAACTGTCTCCTGGAGCCAGTATGGACGAGGTAGTGAGTAACAGACAGCTAGGCACCTTGTCAACATGCACATCAAGCACAGCCACACCAGAGATATCAAGCAACAGCCATTCACTTTAAACGGCAAGCTGCAATAACATAAATCCAATAATTTATACAGGTACGGAGGCATAACTCTTCGCTAAATTCCATATGAAGTAAGTTGGTTAGCAACGAATCCGCGATAAGTAAGCAATGTCCACAAGTTACTTAAAAATGTTACAAACGCAACAAAGTTACCGAAGATAAGCGCTATTAAATAAATAAACAAATATGTAGTTTATTCTCAAAATCATAGTGACACCAAATCAGGCGTGATCGAGGATTAAAAGCAGTTGTGTACCACGACGATACTTTGGGTTCAATCGTGTGTAGTTGAAACGGTCAAGGCACTATAATTGTAATGAAACGGTGCATATAGACGGAGAGTGACATATATTTGCATGTGTTGGGGAGAATTGAAATGAGTCTTGTCGACTTGCCGGTATGTAGTTGTAGGCAATGACTTTATTCAGTGGCGAGTCACATCCGCCACGTCGCAGTATTGTTAAGCAGACATTTGTGGCTTTTTATAGGGAGAACGCTTGCCAGGCGAAAACCCACCACGTCCTGCAACACTGCCGTAAAGCATTTTGAACATTAATGTTTAACTGGCAAAGCCGCTTGACGGCTGGTTCCATATTCGGTTATTCGCAGACAAATGGCTCCTAATTTCCTCTGTTAGTTGGACAGGTAATTTGATCGGGGTCGCCATGATTGTTGAGGTCGGTTGAGGAGAGGAACATCGCAAATAGTCGTCTTGTTGTGTGTCCAGGTGAGCAAAAGTTCAAATTTTCTGCTGTCTGGAGTTTTCAGATGTATAATGTATAGGAGTATGAAGATTTGTCCAGTTCTCCATACTGGACAAGGGTTGTGGTGATTGTAGTTGGGTCCTTTTCGTTTTCAACCATGCTCCATGTAAGTCCTTGTCGGTTGTTACGTTCGTCTTGGGCAAAAGCTGTTCCTCAGTCCAATCCCAGATCTCCAAGAAGTTCCGGACCTCGGAGAAAAGGGAAAGTGAGGGACAACCGAGAGAAGACCGCAAGAACAGGCATGGAGTTAAACATTGTTAAAGTCTTATGTTATAACGTTTGGAGTTGAGACAAAAGCATGTACACTGTGCAGCGATGATTGTGCTGAAAATGCCTTTTGATTATCCTATAGAATCATTAGCCGTATGGGTGGATTGCTAACGCCTGCGTAGAGACAAGAGCGCTGTACCAGTAAGTAATCTACGAAGTATTGGTTACTATGAACCAAAAATTGAGTTGGGAGAGAGCAAAGAGAGTTAGAATATTGGTGGTGATTGCAAGGTGCATGAACAGCAAGTAGCCAGCGTAATACGATAGGGAGCGCAGACTAAGTGAAAATAAATAGGTTGCCGCAAGAGAGATCTAATGGTCAATTGCGGTAGGGCAGCGGAAAGATTGGATGCAGATATTCTAAAGGAATACAGGTTATTGAGATAAGGAGTGGCTCCTAACAAGCACTGGATAATCGCATATGCATGGAGCCGATGACCACTAGCTACTTCTAAACAGAGGTGTCGAATTTAAGTCGACCGACAGATGGTGGCGCCAGGCAAGACTATCAGTGGCCAGATGTAGCCATTCCAATCAGACGCTTGGTCACTAGTGTATGCCTATAGGGTCACTGAATGCATCAACAAGCCATCGGAGGTAAGTGATACAGACATTCCAGGAGAATGTATGATGGAGAGACAAGGAGTGAATCCAAGCAAGCTCAAGATCTGCGCGGTAGGGACATGGAGCATCCGGCGAATTGCCGCGGTAGTGAGGAAGATAAGAAGAGTGACATATATTGGCGCTAGGATAGAGAGTATCAGTGACCAGCAAAGGCATTCGGATTAAGCCTGCTAATTACCAGTGGATACCTACAGTGACAGAAGAAGTCAACAACCAGCGAAGGTGTGATGCAAGCAATTCAAGAGAGTAAGCGTTGGAGAGATAAGGAGTGACTCCTGGCGCAAAGATCAATGCTACCTACAATGACTCGATGCAGCTGAAGATTAGTGACAAAGGTAATACGAAGAACTGATAATGGTGCTAAGTGAGAGAGAGTATTGACACCTAGCAACGGCATTGGAGTGAAGCCTTCAACTTGCCAGTAGATACCTAAAAGGTCTCAGAATAAGTCCGCAGACAGCCAATGTTTGTGACGCACGCAGTCCCAGAGAGGCTCGGAAGAGTGGCTCTTAGCAGGCTCCGGATAAACGCAGAAATGGTTGGAGCCTGCGAAGAAGGGCTGCTGCTAAACAGAGGTGCCAGTGGTAATACGAGGAACTGATAACGGTACTAAGGGAGAGAGGGTATCGACAGCTAGCAATGGCATTGGGGTGAAACCTTCTAGTTGCTAATGAATACCTAAAGTGTCCTAGAATAAGTCAACAGACAGCAAATGTATGTGACGCAGGCAGTCTCAAAGGATGATGGTTGGAGATAAAAGAGAGTGGCTCTGAGCAAACTCCGGAAATGCTTGGGGCTTACGGCCACTGTTGCTACTAAATAAATAAATAAATGGTATATTCTCTGTAAAAGAGACACACCTGTAGAGGCGTGATCAAAAATGCACACAAGTATATCTTCTTTAGGATATTAAAACATTTCGTTTTAATGAAAGGAATAAACGAAAAGATGTATTCCACATGAGTGAGCACATTGTCAGGTAGTAGTCAGATCAAGAACCATGATGGCGCTATGGCGCGCAAAAAACTGTTGCATCAAGATACAAGTTGGGGGTAGGGATCCATGAGCACAGAAGCCCAAACAAGGTTTTGGTGCAATCAATGACCAGTACGAAGCCGGGATGATCTGGGCTCCATCAACGAATTCTTCATAGTAAGAGTAGTTGCGCAGGTTGGATGTAGAAGGCTGAAGACTGCGTCAGTGTGAAATGTCCATCTGTGACTTTATTTTGTGGCGAGTGATATCCGCCACGTAGCAGTGTTGTTAAGCGGACATTTGTGGCTCTTTATAGGGAGAAGGCTTGCCAGGCGAAAATCCACCACGTCCTGGAACACTGCCGTAGCTTCCGTTGAACAGTAGTGCTAGTCGGCTATGCATCGTATAGACCGATTTTGCACTCTATTATTCGCAGTCGGTTGACAGCCAAGATTCTTCCTTGGTTGGCCGAATGGCTTAGAAATGAACCGGCAGTAGTCGTTGAAGCCGGCCAATGATGTACCAGAGTCGCAGAGTTGAATGGCAATGATGTAGTTGAGTAAACACATTGTTAATAGAGGCCGGCTTTTTATGTTATATTCTGGTCCGGCTCGCAACCCGTGTCCAGCTATCCATGCTGGACTTGTCATGGGGACGGTGAGTGCAGTTGTTTCTTGTGTCTGAATATGTCCATAACAGGCGAAAATGCCATTCTCCGCAAAGTGGACTCGGAATTCCTTCAAATGTAAGTGTAATTGTCTCCATGGCCAAGTGAAAACTCCATGAAAGGTCATCGGAAAAGCCACTTATACGCGCGCAATGCTGTCCGTGAAATGACATCAGAAAAGCTCCAAGGTGTAAAATGTCGGTCCTTCAGGGACAAAACGTATATTCAGCAAACAACAGGACCAGGCGAAAACGCAGGCAGAGGGCGAGTGAAACATATCGGTATATACAGCTAGTTGGATCCATAATTAACGACCTTTGTGAATGCATGACATTTTTCCTTTGATTCAGTCAAACAAACTCACTCCAATGCGTCCACTGTTGGCCAATCAGCGTGCATGCGAGAAACGTGTGAACGTCCAATCGACTGCCGCCTTTCCTTGCGGCAGCCTAACGGCTTCCTTGCTGGGCTGGCACCGCACGTTCGTTCGAGTGTATACTCCCATCACATCCTCCCTTTTTTCATGTTCTTGCTGCTGTACTTTGCTAAATAGTCCATACACTTTACCACTCCGCGTCCTCTTTGTTGGATCTGCCGATGTCGCCTCATTGCCGCACGCAGTATAACGCTCTCTCCCTGATTCATGCTGTCGCCTCGGACATCTCCTCAGCTGCACTCGGTTTCTTCTCAGCTTCTTCCCTCCAACATTTACTTCGTATGACCTTTCACCGACTTTCGCAGCCACGACTCCTTTTCTCCACCGCTCCTGTCCATCGGGAATTGGTTCAACCCATACTTCTTCCCCCACTGTCAGCTCAGGTAATTCCCGTGCGCCGTTGTCGTAGTACCGTTTCTGAGTAGCCATTCGCCTTTTCAAACTGTTCTGTACTTTCTCAAGTTGTGGCGTGACAGGGCGCAGAAGTGTTGCGGATGCAGGCATCACAGTTCTGGTCCTTCGACTGTATAGGCGCTGCACTGGGCTCAGGCCGATATCCGTTGAAGGAGTGTTGCGACTCTCCAGTAGCATGAGGTATGGGTCCTCCCGAGTGTCTCTAGCCTTCGCTAATAGTCGCTTGGCTTGCTTCACTGCCGACTCTGCCTTCCCATTTGATTGACTGTGATAGGGACTGGTTTGCCGGTGTGCGAATTCCCATTTGGTTGCGAAAGCCTGGAATGCCCTGCTGCTGAACTGGGGACCGTTGTCCGAGACTAGCTCCTCCGGTATCCCGTGCCGTGCGAATTGACATCTGAGTTTGTTGATTACTGCCTCCGTGGTCGTGGTGGTGAGTAAATCGATTTCAAAGTAATCACTATAGTAGTCCACCGTGAGTAAGTAATCCTTTCCGTTGTCCCAGAATAGATCCACTGCTACCTTTTGCCACGGTCGGTCCGGAACATCATGCAGCATCATCGGTTCCTTCGTTTGCCGAATGTCGTGTGAACGGCACGCCTCACAGTTAGACACATGATCCTTGATCTGACCTGTCATTCCTGGCCAGAACATCAGTTCTCTTGCTCGATTAATGGTGTAATTTGCACCCAGGTGAGCGCGATGGACATGCTCCAGCATCTCCTTTCGGAGAGAAGAAGGGATTAGGATTCGACTTCCCTTGAACAACAGACCGTCACAGACAGTGAGTTCGTCCCGAAAATTGAAGTAGGGTGTTAATTCCTTCGGGAGCTGCTTCTTTGTTTCTGGCCACCCATTGAGGATAACGTCTCGCAAAGCTGCAAAAGTTTGGTCTTCCTCCGTGAAACGCCTTATGTCTTTCAAACGGTTTTCTGTCACTGCCAGATGCTGCACCATGCTAACTGTCTCGATCTCTTCTAGATGATGTTCGGCCACTGGCGGATGTGCTCTCGACAGGGTGTCCGCGATGAACATCTGTGTGCCAGGTGTGTACACAATGTCAGTGTCATACTTTTGGAGCCGGATAAGCATACGCTGCAGACGGCGAGGAACGTTATTCAGTGGTTTAGTGGCTATCGACACCAGCGGCTTATGATCAGTGTGCACGGTTGTCTTTCTTCCAAAAGTATAATCATTGAAACGCTCCATGGCATAGACCACTACCAGCATCTCTTTCTCGATCTGGGCGTACCAAAGGATCTAACGACAGGTGAGCGGTACCCACGAATTCCCCTAAACCCGGGCTAAACACAGACGGATACAGGTCACTAACATCGGCTTCACTCTGACAAGCGTACACAAAACGATTATGATTATCTAGCGTAAACATTAAGAAAGACAGTGGGGTGCAGTGATGATTGAGGTAAACAGTGAGAAAAGTAAAATATGGTCGCTCACAGTGTCACAGAATATATCAGCAAGCCAGCAAAGGTAAGTGATACAGACATTCTAAAAGCTTACAGGATGGTAAAACAAGGAACATCTTCTAGCAGCTCTGGATATGCGCAAGATGTATGGAGCCTACAAAGAATCGCTGCAAAATACGTCATGGAGATAAGCAGAACGAAGGATAATGGTGCTAAGAAAAAAATCGAGTGGACAGGAACTGATTTCGCATTAAGCCTTCTAGTTATTAGTAGTCAGAAGAAGTCAACAAACCCGCGAAGTTATGTTATACAAACAATTTAAGAGAGTAAGTGTTAGCGAGATGAGTGGCTCCTAGCGCAAAGATGTATGCTACCTACAATGGCTCGCTGCAGCTGAAAAGTGGTGACATAGGTAATACGAAGAACTGATAATGGTACTAAGGGAGCGTTTCGGCAGCTAGCATTGGCATTGGGGTGAAGCCTTTTAGTGGATGCCTAAAGTGTCCCAGAATAAGTCAACAGACAGCAAATGTATGTAACGCAGACAGTCGCAAAGGAGGAAAGTTGGAGATAAAAGAGAGTGGCTCTTAGCAAGCTTCGGATATCCGCGTTCTTCTTGTTTCACCTCGTGCCAGTACTACTGTTTTGGCCCAATCAATGCTGTGTTCTTTTACATCCACGTGTGCTGAGATTAACGAAGATGCATAGTGTGTTTTGCATGCTCTTTTGTGCTCTTTTAATCGTGTTGTTAATTTTCTGCCTGTTTGGCCAACACAGTCCTTTTTGCAATTTCTACAAAGTACTCTACATACAACGTTTCTTTGCTCATGAGCTTTCAGTTTCTCTTTCGGTTTCGACAGAGATTTTCTCAGTGTAGCAGCTGGTTTGTGTGCTAGGATGAAGTGATGTCGTTTGAATAGTCTTGCTGCTATTTCGGATATATTCTTTGTATAAGGTAAAATAACGCGTCTCACCGTCGTTGGTATAGACTGTCTGTTTGGTATGTTGTGGTTCAGACACCTTCGGATGAAGCTTCGTGGATATCCGTTGAGTTGGAAACATTTAAATAGATGCTCCTCATCTTGTTGCGTTGCCTTCGTGGTACTGCGGTGTGTTTGCACACTACCAAATAGTGTCCGCACACAGCTTTGTGGCATTTGAAATGGTTACTGTTAAAATTCAGAATTTCGTCCGTATGTGTCCAATTTCTGTAAATTGATGTTTGTAACCTCTCTTCCATGGTTCTGTTTACTAATACATCCAGGAAAGGCAGTTGGTTTTCCTTCTCCATTTCCATTGTAAACCCGGTGTCTTCAATGGTGTTGATCAATAGATGCTGTGCAAATGTAACTGGATTGCGCATGATGATCACAAAAGCGTCGTCAACATATCGGACCCACAGTTTCGGATTACTGATTGGGAGTACATCTGCCTCCCATCGCTGCATTACCATCTCCGCGATAAGTCCTGATAAAGGTGATCCTATTGGTGCGCCTTTCAATTGCTCGTAGATCTTCCCGTTGAAAGAGAAGTAAGTTGACAGACACAACTGCAGTAGCTTGCATGCGTTTTCGGTCGTTAAGTTCCTGACTGGTTGTTCACTGCTGTTCAGGCGTTCTGCGATGACTGTTGTTGCCAGTTGTAAGTTTACAGACGTAAAGAGGGCAGTCACGTCGAAAGATATCATTGTTTCATCACCATCTATTTGCAGGTTTTCGAGCTTCTGTAGAAATTGCTAGGCCTTATAAATGGAATATTGCGATCCACAGGTCAGCTGTTTGAGGCGTCTCTACATTTCTTTCGCCAAGTTGTAGGTGGGTGTTCCTGGTAGTGACACGATCGGTCGTAATGGTGCATCATCTTTGTGTACCTTTAGGAGTTCATAGAATTGCGCGATGCTCGAGTCACAGGCTCTTAGTTGTTCGTTCTTCACCTTCGTGATTTGATTCTCTTCTTGAAGTTGTTTCAACGTTTTGTTTAATTTGTTTGTCAGCTGTAAGGTTGGATCGTTTTCAATGCACTTGTAGGTCGTTGTTTCGTTCAAGAGGCGTAAAGCTTTTCCAGTGTAATCCTCTTTTTCCATTATAACCGTCATTCGTCTCTTGTTTGCCGGCAGGATGATGAGCGTTTTGTTAGACTTCAAGGATTTTATTGCCTGCGTTTCTTGTCTGCTTAGGGTAGTATACGGTTTGTTGCGCAATATAGCTGGAACAATAGTGTCTTATTGGCTTTGGGTCTCTTCCTCAATTCCATTAGATTGTAGAGCGTTTTCGAATGCTGCCAGAAAATCTGTAGTCGCTGTATCTTTGAAGTTATAGTTTGGTCACTTGATGAGGACTTGCTGTTCCAATTCGTTAATCTGTCGTTTAGACAAATTTCTGATCCAGCTATCGCTTGTAGTTCTGTCTTTAGCACAGGTCAGCTTTGATAACTTATCGAGACGTGCAGTATTTTTCTTTATCCCAGTGTTTGTTGTCCGAAGTTCTATTGCAGCGTCAAGTTGTTATGCTGGTTGTTCTCCAATAATTTGAAGACGGGTAGACCGATGTTCGTCCAGACATCAGTTACATTTCTTGAGTCGATTATGAGCGTCGGTGTTAATCAGCCGTAGCATGCGCCTGCCAAATTTGCCGAGCGGCTTTCCACACTTGTGGATGATCAATCGGCGGTTTGTAGCGAACACTATGGGGAACAAAGTGCCTTCCCAGGCATTCCTGAAGGAAGAAGAGCTGTTGCCTTGTAAGACAAGCCTCTACAAGCACAGTCCTCCCAACGGCGAGCAGTGCGGAGATTTGAACGCTTGCAATTATTTAAAATGTTTTGGAAAACTGATAGCTCGGGTGGATAATTCAGTTGCTCATTTGACAATCTGAAAACAAACTATTAAACGCATCAGAACTGTCAAAAGAACGCCCAAGGAAGCTTCTTCGGAAATCAGTCTCCATAGCGTACAGATTCGAAAATACTCTTCCTACCGTGTGTCTAAGTTCAGACACCTTTAAGCAATTGCAATATCACAGTTGCACACAAATTAATAAGCCTGCAAAGGCAGTAAGTTAGCCGGGAATCATGCCATAAAATGACTATAAACTATTTAGTACGCACTAAGTTTTGCGGGGTAACGGTGCTGCGACTACGCCGCAGCAACGACAAGCGATTAACGTGTTGCCCTTGACGGATGTCTGGTACAGTCAGGGTAAACACGCTCATGCAGTTTAGATGTTGTATGGTCACGTAAATGGTAAGGGCAAGTTAAGGGTAATTTCTAAACACCTTAAGGTTAAGGAATGCACCAGTGTAAGTGGTTTGTTTATATTAGTTATTTAGCCTGTACATTTTGGCGCGTTTCGTGTCGTCCGCCATGCAGGATGATACCGCAGCTTTTCGTTGCATGCTAACTGGTGGTTACGAGGCAATTGAGGAGTTCCAATGTGATTTGAGGCGGTTCCAAAGAGAAACTGCAAGTTCGTTTTATAGATGCACGGTGATTACTGCGGCGGGTCATAGGCAAAGGACTGAAACAGATCTCCCTGATGGTTATCGTTATCGATTCATTCACTATCGATGTGTGCATAGCAAGCGTAAGAATTTGAAAGGGAAGCGGTAAGGTGCATGATAATTAGACTGCTGATAAATCTTTTAGTTATAGGTGCTACAAATGCAAAGCCCGATTTTCTGTGATACTGAAAAGCAGGTATTATGATATTGGCCGCGCCTGATAGAATCATTCGTATGTGTTCCATTTAAGGAAACCTTGGCTTTATATTGCTAATCGGCGGCTTAATAGGGTACAAGAATCGGCGGTAGTAAAGTTGATGAAGTCTTTTCCTCAGACACGTGAAAGCAGCAATTTCGTGTTAACGGAATACGGCACCCGTATTACCAG